TAGCGTCTATACGCAATACCGGTCCTAAATCAGAGTTATCAAAAAGTTAAAGTTAGGCTCTGATCATCAAGGCCTTGAGTCACAGGGAAGCTGTGAATTTCAATGATGTAGTTGACCAACTTTTCGCAATTTGACTATTTACAATTTTTACGATTCCTATATCTAATGGCTGTACCAAAGATGTTGTGTTGCAAGCAGAAATTCCGAATAGTTATCTTTCAAGCACTCTGAATTAGGTCTCCTCAGAGCCTGGTCCAGATGTTTAACATCTGCCAGACGTTGGCTCCTTATTATCATAGACTTCATAACTCCTATTTTAACCTCATAAATGGGGTTGGAGAAGAAATTTAATAGGAAACCTGTATTTGCGTGTTTCCTATACACATCTCGACCTAATCTGCTGCCCTCTTTGTTTACTAGGACATCAAGGAATTTCGTCTTCCCATCGATTCTTTTCATCAAACTAAAAAAATTCTCTAGGTTTTCTTTTCCGTGCTGCCAAATAGCAAAGTAGTCGTTCATATAACGAACTAATAAGTTAGAAACAATAAGTGCCTCCTGAATTAAACGTTCCTCAAATTGAGCCATGTAATTATTTGCCAAAATTGGTGACAAACACGATCCCATAGCTAAATCTCGTGTTTGTTCGTACAGTTTAACATTAAAGGTAAAATATGTATAGTACATCGCTGGGTTGGTCAGTATCATTATTTACCCTTTATTTAACTTCATGCTCATTATAATCTCCGCATGTTGGTCTAGTGTGGATTGCAGGGCCTTTATGGCATCATCTACAGGGATGTTAGTGTACATAGACTCAGCATCAAAAATTAACAGCAAATCCAAAATTAGCGGAGGAAATTCTGATTATTTCTTCGATTTTTTTGGTTCCTTAAAATTTGTCTCAAATAAACTACTTTCCTGATTAAACGATGGCCCAATTAACTGGAGTCCACTGTATTATTATTATATATGCTACTAGCTTGTTTTCGTAGTCCATCATGTTTGCAACTAATATTTCTTATTTTAAATGCTTATTCATATGGAATAACCAAGCAATTTACTCAAGGGCGCGAAGACCAAAATTGTATGTTCTTTACTATAGTCGTAGTCTTCTTTTGTTGCATAGGAGTAGTTTGACCTCGTTGCTCAACTCGCTCATATTGTCAGAAAGATCTTATTGTTTGCTTACACTATATGGGATGTAGAAGTAGCCTTGAAACTACTTGTAAACTAAAAATACTTACGCTATAATTGTTATCATATGTTAGATTGCAGTCCCAAATATATTTTTATAGTTGCCGATTCATCAGATTAGTTCTTATCTTAAACTGTTCCATTAATTTTTTTTAACATTTATTTTAGAAGTATTTTACTAAAAGTTCCTAAGTTAATTGTGTATAAATCTTCGTGATTACTTAATTTTGAGATCAAACTTTTCCTTTATGCCCAATATTCACATATATGATTGTATTTATCTTCTTTCATCTATTAACCTATTTCTACATTTTGTGATCTAGAGTAGTATATGATCTATCTTATCGCTCTTTCCATAATTGCATCAGCAATTTCATTTCAAATTGTGGTGCATGGCTCTGATTGACGTCTCAGCATGTTTGCTACTTTACAATTTACAACTTAGGCTAAATCTTTCATTATTATGAATATGTAACTACATGTTTATCCGTATTATGGCTTATTTTTCTTTCATTTATAAGAAAGGTATTTGTACTTTTTATGCTACCACTCCTTTACCACATTCTCCCTTAACCTTGCAATGTTCTTTTATTTTAATTTTATTGTAAGCGCTCTGTTTATCTACGAGGCTAGCTTTCACACACAATAAAAGCCATCAAAGATGCAGAGACGCGACTTAAAATGATGCCAAAATAAAGCACATGCCATATTTTCACCTCGAGGAGCTAACATCTCGCTTTAACCTCTTCCCTATTAATACTTAGTGTGGTTCTAAGGTAGGCTCCTCATTTTGTCGGAAGATTGGTTCATTTTTGGATCGAGGGGCGATGATTGAAAGGTTTGATGATGGATGCAAGCTCCGGTTATTACGCGATAGCTAATCGGCATGCTTAATTCTCATACAAAGCCTGTGAATGAGGACTGAATCTGTACTGTGCTAAGAGACTCATTTCGGTTAAAGGCTTGTTCTGTGAAGCATTGCCTAATCTTCCAATCCAGGTTTCCATGAATATTGGTCCTAAAGGTTTGCTCAAAGCTAGAGGGAAAGTGTGTGGTATCGATTTGATAATTTTTATGGATTATGTTTTTATGTTGACCTTAAGTCTTTATTTTTAATTTTTAATAAGAACTTTAGTAATATAATCTGTATTAATGACTCCTTAGTAATATAGCTCCCAGACGAAGGTGAGGAACCTATGACTGTATAAAAAAATAGATGCTAAAGTAACCTAATGAAAAGGCTGTGAATTCTAAAGATTTACGGAGTAAGGGAGTTGAAAGTCAGAATAATTTTTATGTTTAAAAGCTTTTTGGGTGAAAGACTCTAAGAGTAGAAGAGAATTAGGAGGAAAGAACTGAAACTGGACTGCGCTGCTTATGTAGAGACGGCGTTGATTCGAAGTGGGTTAGAGTGAAATCCTTTCTGCTAGTGCTTAGATAGAAGCCATATAGAGTTGACTTTATGGCACAGTCATTACAAGTTTTGCTTGTTTTTCGACGCTGGGTGAGCGCGATCTTTCAGTACAAGGAGGCCCAACCGACTGTCATGATACAGAGTCTTAGTTAAGTGGCACATGTGTGATCCGCGAAGAAGTGGCGTACAGTGATCATCATTCTGAGGAAGGTATGGACGTTTGAGCTGAGTTAAGACGATGTAGCTGATGCATCCTGGTTATTGGAGAGCTGTGAATCGGGACTTTCCACTTGAGACCTATTGAGGTAAGTGATCTCGGATCTGAGGTGTAGCATGAGAGCGGCAGAGTCTGGAGGATTTAATAGTAGGCTCAGCCCCGTCTGTAGAGAATGTGGTTGGTTGACAGTCAAAGGGTATGAGCCAGGACGAGTACAGTGAAGAGAGTTTGTTGTGCGATTTCGTGAGTCAAGCATGAGCATGGAAAAGGGGGGATGGGGATCCTTAGTAGACAGTGTGAGTGGAGAAAACTGGACAGAAGAAACTTTCTAAATGAAACAGTACATCCAACGTCGCTCAAATTTGCGGATGAATCAAATTTGGTGGTAAGATGGCGGTTGCGAGAGCAAAATAAATGTGCATGTGTGCAGATTGATTCGATATATATATATATTTCCGAGATCGTCCTCTGGCGATTGGTTCAGACCAGACTCTGCTATAGTAACGCTGATAAAGAGTGAGTTGGCGTCTTCCTTAGGACAAATAATTCGTTTGAGATCTTTTCTGGTTAAATAATTTGTCGGATGTGTGAATCTAATTTTGATTTGTGTTCATGGGTTGACTCAGTTTTGGGGTACCATAGTGCCCAAATTAGGCCTTTTAACAAAGACTGAAAGTGTAAAATTTTGGGCTATATATTTAAGTGACCTATTCTAGGTAAGGGCTTGTTATAGCCTCAATCGGCGTTACTTTTAAGGTTGATCCGGGAGGTCTCGTGACAACTTGAGGGGAGCACTTCCGAAACTTAACACGTGGTGCCGATTTGAAATGTAGACATTTAAGTTTGTGATTAAGTCTATAACCATGTAGGAGATGTCAGTACATCCAAGTCATTGCTAGTCTAATGGAACCTACAGGACTTGTAATATCTAGCTATTTTGTTTGAATCAAGATTGTCCAAAATTAATTAATAACTCACGCATAATCTTAGCATATAATTTTTGATTGAATGTCATTCTGTACCACCCTAGTGACATTGAATAAAGTCCTGGTTTGTGACCTAAAATAGATTTATTTTGAAAAATTCTATTCTTTATCATCTTTTTAATCAGATCGCAATGATAGACGCCCGTTTATCAGATGGTGCCACTCCTCTGTTTCTTGCCTCTCAAGGAGGTCACATACCGATAATGCAGGCGCTTATCAACGTAGGAGCTGACGTGAACGGGCCACGGAAGGCAAGTAGTTGGTTATCCTTTTTAATAGCCATTTAGATTTAATATAAGACTTTCGCTCAGTATTATATTTGGCAAATCGCTCAGAGTTGTAAATGTGGTGGATCATGTTTACATTTATTCAATCCATTTGTTTGATCTCTATTTTTTGGTTCAGTCTTACATATGTGTGTGGCATAACTTTTTGCTTGGCTGATTTATTTCTTTAAATTTTACTATGTGGCTTACTTTTTGCCTAGACGACTCCGAGTGAGCGATACCTAGTCCAAAGTACGGTTGTAAAATTATGTTGTCTAAATTAATCTGGTGCTTAGCTAACGGGCATAATTCAGATATAATGTTTGCTTTATCTTGCACACTAATGCTCACAAGTTATGCCCCTCATCGATGTGTATATTGATAAACTATGATACTCCTTTTCAAGCCACCTTGATTCGTTATTTTTATATACATAATTAAAAACCTAATATATCTTATTAGTAAGCGGCTACTTAAACTTATCAGCACTATAGTTTTAAAATAGACGAAAAAGGCAAGAGAAAAAACCCATTCTCAAGCATGACTATTCTTTGTGCTTTACAACAACACAAAATTTAATAATAATCCATTTGGCCTTATCAGAAATTATAAAACAATCTAACCACTGAATGCATGGGAAAAGAGACTTATGGTAAACATCTGTTATAGAGGAGCTATATATCAAAGTCCCCTAACCATTATTCTCTTTCGACTGGTCTGAAATGCTAGTGAAAGATCAATAAAAAACTTTCGTAAAGCCTAAGTATGCAAAAGTTGTTTAAAACGCAGTAATTCATAGATATTTTACTTTTTTTTCGTCTCAAACCAATTTTTGGGATACTGAATTCCGAATTTTTCGGGCCCATAAAAAATGCAAAATTAGTACATAAACAATAAGGATCATATCTATTTATATTATAAGAAATATAAAGGTGCAACATGGTAAAATAGGTCACTGTTTGGGGTCTTTTAGCTTCAATGATTTTGCTTCTGTTACATAGAACCATTGAGATACTAACTTCAGATAATCTGCTATTGATATAGACCAAATATTTATTCATTTATGGATTAGGCAATATCTAAAATTAAATGGTAATCAATAGTGTACTGCTTCTTTTAGAATTATTTTCCTCATTATTTTTTACTAAACTAAGTAGCAATCTAGCACTGTTGGGCAGATGAGAAGTATGTATATTTATTATCTTTCATTTGAAATATATTCATTCAAAAGTAGAGTATAGTTCACACCGTTGTTCAGCAAAGCTATGTTTGCACAAAGGCTTGGTTTCAGGACATTGATATTTAAAAGGCTTGTCTTTCATTTAGATCTCATCGCTCCTAAGACCCACTAGGATATGTGGCTGTATTGCATAGAGCCAGTTTGTCGCCAACAATACGCACACGATTCGGCTTCAAATCCTCGCTAATAAGACCATTGTGAGGTCTGGATTAAAGTCTTGCCTGGATGGGAAAACATTT